TGTCTGATCACCCTTTAAATTGTAAATACAGGTATTCACATACTTTTGATTGATCATAGTCATCTTTTGTAGGCCCCATAGGCATAGTTTGCAGACCCCTGGGGGTCTGCGGACCACAGGTTGATAACCACTAACTTAAGCCATATGGCTACTCCATTTTGCTTGTGCCACGCATGTACAGTGAGCTCTGAGAGCAGTGCCTGGTCAGTGCAAGCTCCTACCAGAGCTGTGCATGAGCAGGGTGCTCTGTGCTTACCAGCTGACCAGGGCAGGGTCTGGCCACCCCTGCTGTTGCACGGCTCCAGAGTCCAGGGGGCAAATGATGCTGTTGTTCTCCCTTTTCCTCTCCCCTTTCCTGCTGAATTCAGCAGCTGGGGAAAAGATGGGATGAGCGGCAGCTGCAGCACTTACTTCTGTGTGAAGGCAGGATCCAGACGCACCCTGTGGTAAGAGCTTATGTGTATCAGAACCAAAAGGTGGGTTGTGTCTGTGCCACTGTACTCCTTCTGGATCTGCCTCTGGTGTAAATGAAGTCTTATATAAGATTAAGATCAGGGCCAGTGCAGCATGGCAATGTGCAATTTGATCGCTGTTACAGAGGACAGCATTGTGTTGTTAATGCAAAGCATTTACGATAATAAGGCAAAGACTTGTTGAGAATTTTGTACTGGGACTGTGTCAGAAGAAACTGAATCCATTCTAACAATTTATAAGGTGCAGGTTTTTCTGTAATGCTAGGGAGATGTGTTATTGGAAAATGTGCATATTGGTACAGGAATGCTTCATATTCATAATGAGTTGAGTAGGTCAAAAACATGTTTCTCTATGGGTTTATATCAGTGGCCTTCAGGGCACCATGTCTCAATTATGTGCCCTATATATATATATGTATATTTTATAGGCTTTGCAAATATAAAAGGGGCCTTTTAAATTTTAATTTAAAGACATCTCCTGCACTGATAAATAACAATGAGCCACATTATGAGTTCTGCAAGAAGGGTTTTAACATGTAAAGAAGCCATGCAGGGGTCTAAACTGCTCTTCTTGCTTGCTCCGAAGCAAAGGTGTGTGGCATCTCTGTCTACTCTACTGCACAGAATATATTAATATAGAAATAGGAGCAAGGAAGTGGTGTAACCATTGGGTCTTTATTTCTGTGGATAGCAGATGGGATTGCACAGTTGAAGACATCTACATCCTTCCTGGTGGCTTTTATTTTAGCAAAAGGATCATTGTTTATGCAATTTGTTACTACTTCTTGACTCAGCATTTCTGTAAAGAAAATTTAAACTTGGCTGTGACATTGTTAGACTCAATGTAGCCATTTTTTCACTTGTTATATATTTTTTTAATTTTGTTATTCAGTTCTTCTCTTTCATTTGGCCAGATGGATCCTTAATCAAACAATAGGCCAAATCTTATGGTCCTTGAGTAAATATAAATCAGCATGCAATCCTGGCAAATCTGAGCTAGTCACAGAACAAGCAGCTAAATTGTTAGTGCAATACAAATACAGGTAAGATACCCATATAAAAATAGCATTGCTCATGTAAAAACTTTATTCAGTTTAATAAAATATTTAGAGAGAGGAATAAAAAACTTCTGGGTAAAAGTTCCATATTGGCTACATGGTGTGCTGCTGAGGTTGTAACTTATTGTGAACATTATTGGTTCAGCTTTCAGACTTTGTGAAAAAGTCTAGATTTTATAGCATGTGTGGATGGCCTTCAAATTGTGTTGTAAGAGTAGATAATTTCATTCTATGAATCTTGTGTCTTTTAGAGTAGCTGGAATATTAGATGTTACTGAAATGTAATGCATACCATATACCATTCTTCATCCTGTATAAAACTGGAATGGGGGCCTGATTAGGAAAGCATAAAAAGCACAAATCTAAATTTAACATTTTTAATATTCTCCTTTTTATAAAAATACCATTAGTTTGGTACCTTGGGGAAAAAAGATATAAGTTTTCCAATTTAATGTTGTCAGAAATTTAATGAGTCATTATCATACAATCAGCACCAACATGTGACACGAGTAAAAACAGACATAGTATCAGCTAACAACAAAGAGATATTTTATTTGTCATCTTAATGCACATCTGTATTGGAAAAGTAAATACTCATTGACTGTCATCAAAAGAGAAATGTGCATATTTACTGTATTTACTTAATTCCAAGATGAGGTCCCTCCCCCCCAATTGGCATGGGGGGAAAGAAATCCCTCATCTTATAATTGCATATAAAGAAATCTCACTAAATACATTGTCTATCATTAAACTGCTGCCAAAACAGTATATGCTCAGCAATTAGAACCAACTACTAAGTTGATTAAATGCAGCCAGCACTGAGCATGACTCCAAAACACATGGGCCCCATTGAGCAGTCATGCTGATGGGAATCCTTTTTTATGACACTTAACAAAAAAAAAATAGGTGGGTGTTCCCTCCACACAGAACTGGCACTGGGTCTGGAGATACTGCAATACCAGGGCGAACGCTAGCCCTGATATCCTCCTCTTGGTGCCAGAAATGCTTGGTCTTGGCCAAAAGGCTGAGATGCTGATAGGAACCTTTTTTTGTGGCCCTTAAAAAAGAAACAGGTTGGTGTTCCCTGCACAGGAAACTCGCACTGGTCCTGGAGGCACTGAAATACCTTGGAGGGCCACAGCAGAATCGGTTCTGACAACTTCTCCTTGGTGCCAAAAATGCTGCATTTGCTCTTAGTCAAAGGCTGAGATACTGATGGGAAAATAGGTTGGTGCAGCCCATCTGCCTAAATTACATGGTATTTCCCATTAAGCACAGTCCCCGTCACTGTCAGCTTTTTCAAGTCATGGTGAGCCACAACATTGCACACCCAGAATCCCTCTGTCAGCTCCTCTCTTAGCCTGGCGCACACGATTAGTGTTGGCCTCACTCTCCATGAGGTGAAGCTGTACTAGGTTACCCTGTGCCTCATCTGCAGTTAAATTTTTGAAGCATCCCAGGACTTGTGACAAGAACACGAGTCATGAGTGGGGGCTGATTAGTACATGGATCCTTTGTGTGGGTATCTGGAATATACGCAGATACTGAGCAGTGCTGAGTTGTGGGGTCACCATGGAGGGTGGGGCCATATTAATCATATATGCCAGGTTGACAGCGGGCAGGACAGAAGGATTCTGTGTATGCAGTGTTGTGGCTTGCCCAGCCCAGCAAACTATGTGGTAAATCATGAGCCGTCTAGGTTTGGATTAATATCATGCATAGTCTACCTGACAGAGGAGAAACTATAATCTTAGCCTTTTGGCTAAGATAAAGCAAGACTGGGAGCATCTGAACCCTAAGGCCTCCAGGACTGGGGCTTGTAGGTAGGATGCCTACCTGGATTTGTGGGGCGTATCTAAAACCCCACACCAATGGGTCTGGGAGGGAGGGTACATCTCAGTGGCAGAGCCATACAGACTTGATGATTGAGCTCTGTTCAGTCAAATTTTTAACCTTGACTATTGGGTTTTGCCCACTTTGAATCTAGAACTGATTTGGCCTTTGAAATGGAACCCCCCGCCAACCATATATATATATATATATATATATATATAAGTTTATATTAGATTGCCAAAGTGCTGCTCAAAATTGTGTTTATGAAATACCTGTCTTTAAAACTTGCAGCAGCTTAAAAAGGTAACATGCATCAATTCTGGATGAGCTAAGTCTATGGGTACTATATGCAAATTGCTAGAGCCATGGTTAATTTCAAGGGTTTGGGTTTTTTTTTGTTGTTAAATGTTCTCTTCACTTTCACGTTCTCAGGGAGAGCAGGGTCAGACAATAATGGGAGGAGGAAGAGACTGCCAGGGGAAAAAGTTTATGGGGAGTAGAGAGCAAATGGCTACCTGATCCTTCAAATTTTATTTTTCCTGTTGTAGCAGCGGGTGGGGGACAAATTCAAGGCAAACCTCCAATTATTAAGTTCTATACTTGGAAAATTGTAACAAATATATACATTTTTCACATAAAATCTAATTAGTGTGATGTCATCTTATGATCAGGGCAATCTTTTATTCAAATAGATATTGTAAGTTGGTTGTAGAATGTCTGGAGGTCTATGGATAACAAACATTAAAGAGAGGAATACTAAATATTTAGTAGATTTCAAAACTGAATTCAGGGCAGGGACAAAAAATAAAGTTCCACATTAAAATGTAGGCAGACTGCTGCTGAGGGAATTGCTGAAGGATTCTGAGATGTAATGCACTTTCTTTTTTCTGTAGGTGCTGTACAATCTGTTCAAGTCTTTCTGCCAGATGCGCACAATTGAGACCATTGATGTATTTGCTGGAATCGCTAACTTCTTTGTAGTGGGGATTGGTGGAGTGCTGATTGGAATCCTCCTGGGATTTGTAGCAGCATTTACTACCCGTTTCACTCATAAAATCCGAGTTATTGAGCCACTCTTTGTCTTCCTGTACAGTTACTTGTCATACATAACGGCTGAAATGTTTCACCTCTCTGGCATCATGGCGTAAGTACCCCCACAGGATGCTTTAGTAATAAGAAAAACAGCAAATGATAATGCAAAACTAGTCTTCAATGGGGATCAGATATTGCAAACTTTTTCTTACACTGAGTAATGTTCCATCACTTGAGTAGTGCACTGATTGTGTCCAGTTAAAGGCATGATGGGATCTGATCCACAGTCCCAACAATTGCTCTGCCTGCCATGCCATGCATGCTTGGCAGGATGCACGGTTTTGGGATTGGGGATTAGATCCCGGTTACACCTTGTTGGTACAGAGGGAGCTGGAATAATGAATGCAGGTTCCCCCTGCACTCACAATTTAAAAGCTGGGTGCCTGACAACCAGCTGATTTGTCAGCTGGGACTGCACTGAGATCTGTAACTAACCCAAATGCAGTCACTTTCGCCAGCTGACGGTCGGTTAACTGTCAAAACCCTAGCTGAGCTGCACACAGTTTTTACAGGTCTTGGAGCATGGGGACCCTTGAAGAAACCAAATCCCAGGATTCCCACGCACCAGTATGATTAAAAACCCATGTGTGCAGCCTAGCTGGGCTGAACATATGGTTTTTACAGGTCCTGATCTCAGGCTTCTGAAGTGCTGGCATAAGTAATAGCTGTGAATGCAGCCTATCAGGACTGCACACCTGGTACTTTTAGGTCCGTATGCACAGGGACCCCAGGATCTGGGAGCTTCTCCCTGATCCCATGTTCTATTGCACTGGGATCTTAGAAAACTGTATATGTAGTTTTTAGACATTCTCAGTGCATAGGGATCTTGGGATTGAAGAGAGGCTCCTTGATCCTTGGGTGCTGGATCCTTGGGTCTCTGGGTGCTGGAGATGTCAGAAAACCATGTATATAGTTCAGCTGCACACATGGTTTTCAGATTTCATAGATTTCATAGACGTTAGGGTTGGAAGGGACTTCGGAAGATCATTGAGTCCAGTCCCCCACCCAAAGGGCAGGAAGTCAGCTGGGGTCATAGGATCCCAGCAAGATAAGCATCCAATTTGCTCTTGGATGTCTGGGGTATAGAGAGCCCAAGATCGGGAAGACACCCCCTGATGTCAGGCACACTGCATCTCCCTGCCATGACCCCCCTGTCTCCCTGTGAGAGATGGGTATGGGTCTTGGGTCCAAGAACTGGTTCTGCCCCCAACCCACTGGGGTAGGGGACATCTATATCATGGACCTTGGGGCTGTCTCAGGCTGGATCCTGACACTCAGCTGAGTGTTGGGATCTGTCATGGGCCAGCCCAGAGCTGGAGTTGTTGTATATTCTGCAGAAGCTAGCCCTAAAGCAAACATCTCAGTTTGACTTTTGGTGAATAGGTCTGTGTATATCTGTACTGAGATATGTGTTTGTACTGTGTGTGTGCATACTCTATGTGGTATATATACATAATTTAGTTGTATGTAAAATAATATTTTCCTGTTACTTTTCATAACAGTATGATTGTATTCAGCTGAAATCCTTCAGTTAGAAAAACAAAATCTGTGTTCTATGCATTATCTCAGTTTTAGAAAAGACAGCCATGGCATGCCAGTATATTTAGATGGCTTATTTTGATTCCAGACAATTATATATGGCAACCTGAACCTTCCTTAATATCTGTGCATTGTTCTAGTGGTAAATATGATGCAGTTAGGATTTAGAAGTATTAACATTTTAATGAAAACTTAGATTCTAGAAGTTGCTTGTTAATCTCTCTCACACTTGGTGAAACCTCTTTTGGTAACTTAAAACATTTTTTATCATCTGATTGAAGACAAAACTGCTTACTTTGTATTGCTGGCATGTTGATTTAATTTCCTGCAGATCACAGACATAATATAATTAGAAAAACACTCCTAATTATTTAAGTTAAGGTTACCAGACCTAACTCTCTCCTGCTCTCTCCAGCCCCTTAGGCTACCAGAAGGCCACCAGAAGTTAGGGGGCATAGTGGGGGTTGTGGCAGACACCACCACCCCTATGATCAGCTACAGACTTTAGGGTCTCCAGGCACCAGTAGACATGGCAGCTGGAGGGGGAGTGAGGGCTGATACCATGCCAATTGTCCTCTGCCTGCTTCACCTGTCCCACTATTATAGTATTGCCCCGGCTATAGGCTTTTATCACATGCCCTGTGCTGGAGCCAGAACTGCTACCACAGCATGGCAGGGGCTGGAGCTACCTCCACATATTCTGGTTTGAAGCTGGTGCTGCTACTTCCTCATGCTTCAGGATAGGAGCCTTGTGATCCAGATTTGGACCTCCCTACAGGATGAGTTTGATACCTCTGACTTAAGTTATATAAGAACAGAAGCATAGTTTCATAGTTTCATAGTTTCTAGGGTTGGAAGGGACCTGAGCAGATCATCTAGTCCGACCCCCTGCCATGGCAAGAAAGAGTACTGGGGTCAAACGACCCCAGCAAGGTGTTCATCTAACATACTACAAAAGAAGTAGTGGAAGGTATGTTAATAGAAATAAGGAGTTAAGGGTTACACAGGCTTCTTTCTGTGGCATGAACCTAAATATAGTAATACATGAATCCAGTTTGACCCAGCTCTGCAATGTCCCATCCTTTCCCTTTGCTGCTATTCATAGCATCTATGTGTTCTCCAGTTTCCTCCTGTCCTTAGTCAAATGTCACTGATGACTTATGATTAATTATATACTTAAAGGGCTTCTAAACCAAAAAGTGCTGGTTAAACTCTACAGGGAATAATAGTTGTTGGTATAAAAATATTGAATTGGACACTGAGCCTAATGTAAAATCAACAAAGGACACTAGGGCTACTGGTGTGTAACTGGGACCTGTACCTCAGTGCAAAATAATAATGAAAATACAGAAATATGTATACCTCTTACTTTTTGCTCTTGACAGTCCTAAGGTCAAGATGCAATAGGCTCCACTTTGGGTCTGAAGAAATGGAGAAAAACACTAAGCTTTTATCCTCTACTCCCACTAAAAATTTATCTTTCCACGTGTCTTGTGTGCATTTTTACTCTAAGCTTATATTTGTAATATTTCTTACTAGATTGTGAACTAAAGAAAAATATGCAACTCTGTGTCATGCTGTGCCAATATTATACTTGGTCATTTCCTGGAATAAATTAATATGATCATTTATAGCTCAGCCTCTGGGTCATGGTGACCACACATGGGAGAGGGAAGGGACTGGAATGCTCTCCCTTCTCCCTCTCCCATTTCTTTTGCCTGTATGATCTATTTACACCTTGCATCTGACTGGGCAAGTGTTAGGTAGGCATTGTGTACCTGTTATCTCTCCATATAGATGATCAGGGTGCAGTGCAGCCAAGTAGTGCTCCAGAGTTTGGGCAAAGGCAGATACTCATTCTACCCTTTAATATACAGTACATGATTTACTGTATTGAAAACAAAACTTTAAAGGCAGGTTTTGATGTTCATTCCTGATGTATTTTGTCATCTCAAACAGAGGTCACTAAATGTTAGAGAGTTATGGATTCAGTCACATTGCAGTGCAGTGCAGTACTTGAAAGAAAGCATAAACCTAGGTCACCTTTTACCATAAAGAAAGCTTTATACCTTTGCATAAAGCGTAAACCTAGGTCACCTTTTGACCATGTCTGGTTATTGTCCATCCAGATAGATGTTACAATGTGCCATATTTTTCTCACATCTGTATAAGCAGCTGTGAACATTGGTGTCAGAAGCACACTGGCCAAGTTCGCTGATGCCCCAAAGTTTTTAGTGTCATAGCGTCCACACCTGAGGATAGGCTAGTGATCCAGGCTGACTTGGGTAAGCTTAGTAAGTGGGTGGATATGAACCTGATGTCCTTCAATACAGAAAAATGCAAGGTACTCCACCTCGGGGAGGGGGAAAAACCCCACAGCACGCTTATAGGCTTGGCAGCGGTACACTCGCTAGTGCCACGGCTGAAAGAGACTTGGGGGTCATGATTGACCACAAGATGAACATGAGCCACCAATGTGATGTCGCAGCCGGTAAAGCAAATAAAACTTTGGCTTGCATCCATAGATTCAAGAAAGATGTGGAGAAGCTTGAGAGAGTCCAAAGGAGAGCCACACGCATGATCAGAGTGCAAGAGAACAGACCTTATGATGAGAGGCTGAGAGCCATGGGACTTTTCAGCCTGGAAAAGCACAGGCTCAGGGGTGACCTGGTGGCTGCCTGTAAGTACATACATCAGAATCTGGGGGAAAGTCTGTTCACCAGAGTGCCCCAAGAGATGATAAGGGCCAATGGTCATAAACCCCTCTGTGACCATTTTAGGCTAGACATAAGGAAAAAATTCTTCATGGTCTGAGCCCCCAAGGCCTGGAATGGACTCCCTCCGGAGGTGGTGCTAGCACCTACTCTGGACTCTTTCAAGAAATGTTTGGATGCTTATCTTGCTGGGATCCTTTGACCCTAGCTGACTTCCTGCCCCTGGGGCAGGGGGCTGGACTTGATGATCTTCAAGGTCCCTTCCAGCCTTAATGTCTATGAAATCTATGAAACATATGAAATGCACCTTTCTCCCAAAAATCACCTGCCAAAATTAGGGCATGTATTAAGCAGGGGAAGCTTATTTCCTGACCAGGATAGAAGCACCCTGCTTTGATTACTGCTCCACAGTGCAGCAGCTGTTGTATTGCTATTCAGGCAGCTGAGGAAGTTAGTTAACTTAATGGCTCATTGTTCTTCACTCTAGAGGTGTTAATGATCATCTCTCCTTTTGATGGTCTGCATGTTCCACTAATTAAGTTAACCTTTTTTAGGGGAATGTTGCTGTCTCCTAGCTGTTCCCTGTCTCTCTTCTAGCATTTCGTGGAGTTGGAGTCTCACTTTAAAATTGTAGAGCCACCAGTCTTAAGCAATGGTTTGGGTTTCAGTTTTAGTTAATCAGGAAAGGTGAGCAAGTCTAAGATTAGGCTCCATCCTTGCTCTATAACTCTGCCTTTCAAAAACAAGGTGTGTATTATATTCTGGAGCATTTTGTATGTGAGAAAATATGTTATTAAACCATTTTAAAATGTGTTATTTGGAAAAGTGAGAACTGCCTAGAAAATGAGGAGTTTGTAATGTCATTGGTGTAAAAATCTTGGATCCTAGCAGCCTGAGAAAAGGTGAGTAACCTGTCTGAACAATAAATGAGAGTTGCATGGGCTGCAAGCAAATTACTGTACCAGTGGAAGTAAAAGGATTTATGCAATTGCTGACAATGACATTTCCTTTCCAACAGAATTCAGGGATTACTTTCAAGAATATTATTTCTTTTTTATTTTCTGAAACATGGGTTTCCATGTATCCTAGGCAGTTCTCAGTTTTGAATTTCTGAAACTTGGCTCTCATTTACCTGGATGGAAGAAAATTTAGAAATTTAAAAGTCATGATTCCAATACATTACAGGAAAGGAAAATGTAGTATTATCAAACAATCAAGATATATTCACCATTTCCCTTTACTTGTGTACAACTGGGAAATTACTGGCAGCTGACGAAATAGATGGTGGGGGTGATGGGAAATGATTTCAAGCAAAATCTGGATTATTTCCTTAGGTATGTAATTTGGACATACCTGGTCCTAGAAAGGTGATTCAGAGAAACAGGGTTAGTTGTCTGTGTTCCCTGTATAGCCAATGGTTAGAAGGAGAATTAAGTTTCTGTTAGTTAGAAGGGGAGTCAGAGTGACCAGATGCTGAGGAGTAAGTCAATAAAAACTGACCAAATACAAAGTACTCTGCAGAGGGTTGTATTAGGGGTGTGCGAAATGGGCCCTATTCGATTCAGATTCAGCCCAAATTGGGGACAGTGATTTGATCCATTGATTTGGATCGCTGTCCCCGATTTGATCTGGCTGAATCCAAATCTGACGATTTAATGCCGATTCAGCGAATCAGTGATTCAGACACAGGCACAGCTTCAAAAGTTTTTTTTTTTTTTTTTCTACGTACCTTGAGATACCAGGTGTGACTCGTGAACACAGCGATGCTGGGGCAGATGGAGCGTCCCACAGCAGCTCTCCAGCATGCTCGGCAGCAAACCTGGAAGTGGACCAGAATTACTTCCGGTCCACTTCTGAGTCTGCTGGGGAGTGCACTGGGCCTGTGCCCCATGGCTCAACAATCGGCTGCAGGGGGACCCTGGGTGCCCCCCCAGACCCAGGAGGCACCAGTCACCAAGCCGGAGGTGACCTGGACGTGCTTCTGGTCCACTGCTGAGTCTCTGGGGAGCCCCCTGTGCTTCTGTGGGACATTGCATCTGCCCCAGCACCACAGCATTCAGAGCCCTTGCTATCTAGAGGTATGTAGAAAAAACATTTAAAGCAGTATCTATGTCCGAATCGCTGAATCTGTCTGAATCTCTCCAAATCGATTCGTAGGGTTCTGAATCAATTCAGAGAGATTAAAGGGTCCTCTTATTCAATTCGGATTTGGAGATTCAGCTACTGAATTGGGCCAAAACTCCGCTGAGTCAAATCAGGGACCGAAGCTTTGCACAGCCCTAGTATCTATGGGTATAGACACGCATACATTTGGAGCCATTACAGAAGGGGAATATTTCAAAAGGGCAGCAGCTGTTACGTTCTAATTGTTGACTGGAGATGCAAACCTCTGAGGTGTTGGTAGTGCCTCCTACTTTCACTTGATGTTTCATTGTTTAGATTACCCAACAAGTTCCAAGGTTTCCTCAACCTGAGGGGATTCAAACCCACCGGGCTATAAAATCAGTGGGGTGGGGGTACCCTCCACTCTTTCTCTTGAAGCTGAGAAAGTGTGCGTCAAAGAATGTACAAAACAGGGCCAGAAAGACAGTGAGAAATAGGGAACTTGAATCTGTAAGCTGGGGATAAAGACATTAATATAGCAGAAGGGTGTTCCTGTTTCTTTTCTTAGCACCCAGGGTTATTTGTGTCTCTTATCAAATGATCACATGGATCACCTTCTACCCCTGCTACTGAAGCTCAGTCAATATGGAGAAAGGAATGCAAGAATCACCCACTTGACTCTCTTCTGTAGTTTGGTGGTTAGGGTAGTCTTGAGAGGTGAAAGGTGTGGTTTTTTGAGTCCCTCCAGACCAAGCTTAGCCTGTCACCCAGGGCTCCCACGTTCAAACAAGTTCACCTACTAGATTTATTTTTTCTATAATAGTGGCTGTGGAGCTACCACCCCTATTTTGAGTGAAAGTGACTATGGATATCATGGCTTGTGCTGGATGTTGTGGTGGTGGTGTGAGTTGATGTGCTCAGGGCACACCTAATTGATCTATCCATTCTGGGAGTATAGATAGAGTTGAAGCTTGGCTTCCATTCTAGATCACAGCCTGAGTTCAGACGGAGAAGAGCTTTTGCACATGCTTGAAAGTCTACATTTAGGTGTTTGAGGGCTTTTTGCAGCCAAAATATAAGTGTTCATTGAACTTAAACACCTAATGGTTTTGTAGCCCCTGGAGCAGGGTTATTCTGAGTCAGTTTTTTGTGACCTAGGCAAAATTTAGGTGCCTAAGTCCCATTTAGGCACCCAATTTACCAATTTAGATCTGACCCTGTACCCTCTTCCTCTAATAAAAACCTTATACAACATACTCATGGGGATGAGTGACTCTTAAAACAGCTATTTATCCTCCCTGGGGAGGCAATTCATAAATAGCAGGACTAGTCATTCCCTAAGCTGCCCTAATGAGAATGTCCCCTTCTGAAGGACAGGAAATGGATTTTGCTGTAATTAGATCTGGACTTAAATCAGAATTATAAGCCTGAAAAATGGAGATGTAGATCTGAACTTTTTAGCTTGGCTCGATTTCTAATTCTAAAATTGCACTTTGTATTGTGAAATGTGTGTTGTTGTTGTTTTTTTTGCAATTGCAAACGAATGAGCTGAAAGAAATAAACATTGAAACTACTGTAAATTTAGTAGGTCAAAGAAACTTGATAACTCAGTCCAGTGGTCTAGTTTATTCCAGTCACAACAGAAACTTCACTGTTTTTGCAGGAGGACTTTCATTACTCAGTCGTGTGCTAGATGCAGTGTTATTGTAATCGGCTATTTATTCTTTGCCTGATTTAAATATGGCAAAAGTCAACAACCTGAGATCAAAGAATGAGAGAAGTATAGATAAGTACAGTTTCACAGCAGGTGGAAAAAAAGTGTAAAACAAAATTGGGGAAAAATAGGTGTACTCTTACATTTGCACGTTATATTGCCTTGTTTACAACTCATTTAGGAAGACAAAGATCATTTTAATATTTGTAGCACTGCATATTTCAAAAGGTGGAGAGGAGGAAAATTTATTTGCTGTTTCTTCACTATCTTTTGTTTCTGTCCATTTCCAGGGAGCTACAACAAGCTCCCCTTCCCAGAGACCCTGCAACTATAGGGTTGAGAACTGTATCCAATTTCCAGTCTTTTTCCACATCCATTTAACGCACATTAGAAGACATTCAAGTGGTACTGGGCATAATTTTCAGCTGTTTAGAACAGATGAGAGCCAAGTATGACCTAATCCTACTTTTCACTTTTCGTGGGCTTGCTAGGGAACAGGAGAGTCCTAGGAGATGCTGAATCAATCAAATGACTGCACAAATGCATCTGGTTTTTTTTTAAGCAACAAAATCATAGGAAAGACATTGTTTAGTCAGCCAAGAGGCCAGTATCTTATTCTGAGACTGTGGTTTTGTTGTTAGCGCCCTAGCTTCTTGCATTTCTAAGCCCTTTGTACCACCCCCAGTGTATCCTTCTTGCAACTCTGCTCCCTTTCCAGTGTAGCTTATCAAGCTGCATTCTCCTTAGGACTGTTTGACTAGCCAAGGAATAGTGGAATACATTGTGCTTCAGCCTTGCCACCTCCAGCTTCCATCATCTCTGTGTGTAGGGGAGGGAGCAGGGGCAAAGAGCAGGTCTGTTCCCTGGTGGTAAGATTCATTAGCTACAAGACTTCAGGCCTCTGGCTGTACAAAGGAGCCCTAGTGGGATCCAGATTCTTAAAAAACATCCGGCTGTTGGTGTTTCTCTTCCAGAGAAGACAGTGTTGTTTTCCAGGATCTGAAGAAAATTACAGCATGAACAATAGATCTTAAAAGCATTATCTCAAGGTCCTTTTAGATGCACTGCATATAAGTTGGTTGCTGTATCCTGTTATGATGTGGGTACCAAGCAACTAAAAGCAAGGTTGGCCAACATACAGAAAGCTGAATGGACAGGACCATCTGAAATCTGGGCTTGGAACTCAGGACTCCTTCCTCTCGGGGGAGTGTCCTCATCACACAGCCACCGCCTGGCTTTCTCTTGCTTTCTCGCCTTCTGGCACCATGACTTCCGCATTCTTGGCAGCCCTTAGAACTGGAATCAGAATTCAGGTATGCAGAAGGGCAGGTGTAATGTCTGGCTTTATACTTTTTTCAGCTGTTTTTTTAGAAAGTACAGAATATACATTTTCAGTGACCTCTGCAAAATGGTACCAATACTTTTTCAGAAAGCCCACCCCTCTGAAAAAACTATGAATACATGTATATTAAAATTTAAAATGAAGTAGTGATAAGAACAATGATGCTGTTTATTTAAGCTGAGAATGGTAGTAAAGTGGGAATGCTTATTAGCTGACCATATTAGTGCTGTTCTCCTGAGATGAATGGATTTGGAATACATACAATAAAGGATAATGTTTACCTTGCAGGATAACAGCTTGTGCCATGACCATGAATAAATATGTGGAGGAGAATGTTTCCCAGAAGTCCTTTACAACCATAAAGTATTTCATGAAGATGCTGAGCAGTGTCAGTGAGACCCTGATCTTTATATTCATGGGAGTGTCTACTGTTGGAAAAAACCATGAATGGAACTGGGCCTTTGTCTGCTTTACTCTTCTCTTCTGTTTGATCTGGCGTGCGCTGGGTGAGA